TGAACTCCAAAGAAAGCCATAGAATCTATTCCTGAACGCTGCTGAAACCAGAGCAAGATTTGAAGCTGGTTCCAAGTTTGCTGAAATTACTAAGAACCTTGCCCTGGTGTCCGTCTAAGCAACACACACAATTTCTACAGGCTTTTAATCTGGCTTCTTCTGTATAACTTGGCTTCACACATGGAGACTTCCAAAGCACAGGAAAAGCAAAATACCAAGCAAATGGGAATAGCAGAAAATGCCTTTTCCAAATGCAAACACCGTTCAGTCAATGCAGCATACGGCATTAGTCAAATCTGTGAAAGTTGATAAATATGGTAATGAGTTTGTCCCTGCAGCAGAATAAATGTCTAGCCTCAGTTGTCTAAAGCTGATTAAAAAAAACAGATGAGGTGGATACTTGTTGGTTTACAGTGTCATTTCAACCTGGACTGGAATGAGTTGCTATTCAAAGTGGCATCCAGTTCTAGTGCCTTCACTGTGATGTTCAGTTTATTTAACCCAATTTAGACAGTCTCAGAAACAAACACAGTTTACTAGAGCTGTTTTGTTAAAACTCAAGCTGCAAGCAATTATCATAACTCCACAGAGAAGCCAGTCGACCAAGCCCCCAAACTCTCTATACCACGTAAAACACACACCAAGTACAACAGAAGTTTTGGACAATCAGATGCCTCAGCCTTTGCAAGACTAAGCAGTCAGAAGGCATGGCACAACTCAGGTAGGGACAACTAGTACTACTGCAGTTTAAAACCCACCATGTCTGCCCATTTCCCACTGGTTAGGTGTTTTAAGGTGTTCTTTCCTCTAGGTAAGTTATAAATTACTCATGTGCAGCTGCAGGGACAGCTTGACGATGCAGCATAGCTAAGACTGGCTGTATTTATGAGTATAAAGCTCAAGGAAAGGGGATATGACAGATGGACCCTTAATTTACATTCACTTATTCCCCTCTGCTCTGTGGGAAGGAGAGTTTGGACCTGTGTTCAGCCATGGAAGACCCCACCATCATCCTCAAAACCTGCATTTCTCCTCCCAGACCTCCCCTGCCCATGGCATCTCCTCTGTCCCACTGCCTGTGGTAGGACTAGAAGCAGCTGGTAGGAACAGGACACGACCCTGTGCAACTCCCCGGGGGGGTTTCGCTTCTGCAGCTCTGGGGTTTGAGGGTCTGACCTTGTGTTTTGTAACCCTACCTGATAAACGGCTCTGGAAATGCACCATGGCTTCAGCATGAGCTGCAGGACCCTCAGGTTTCCAAAGCGGCAAGTCCTCAGAGCCCGGGACGTCAGGCTCCACACCAAGCTGTCCCAGCTGTAGAGCAGATCCTCAAAGCCAAAGAGCACAGCAGCCATGCCAGCTCCCCGTGCGAAAGACCCCGGACGCCCTGCTCGGAGGCGATCAGCTAATCCCAAGGCGCCTTATGAACTGCAAGGTTAAAAAGTCACTGAAATTTCCATCAAAGGAGGAGAAGGAAAAGAAAGGAAAAAAAATCCTAAACCATCAAACCAAACCCGACAACAAAAACCAGCAGCCAAAATAAACCATTTGGGCATGTGTCTTTCTCCCTTCGCACACGCCCTTCAGGTGAGCAAGGAAGAAGGAAAAATACCTCTCCCGACTTAGGAAGGCAATTGCACATCCCTTGCAAAGGGCTTCTTGGTTACACTGCATCACTTCCCAGCTCCCCGCTGCAGAACCAAGCAGCAAACTCGCATCCAAAGTCATCACTTTGCAAGCTCAGTCCTGGGACTTCATCCAGAGGGAGGAAAAAAGCCGCTCGCTCTCCCTCTGCCAACATTCCCAAGACATTCCAGTATTGGGCTTAACTCTTTCAAACACTCCCGAAGAACAGCTGAGAGGACAGCTTTGCCACACGCATTTCATCCCTTTGTTTTGTGTGTTGACTAGCCATTGCACAGCTACGCTCGTCTTTTTTCCACCCAACTGTCTGCTCTGGAGCCGTTCTGTGTTTTAGACTCAGAAGGGGACTTAATCTTTATATGAGACTTACGCAACAGCCTGCAAAGCACCTTATTTACTCAAGGGGTGATATCTTGGAAAGTTGCATGGATTAAACAATGCCCATTTAAAATCAGTCTGAATCAGCTGGTGTGGACTTATTTTTAACCCCTGCTGAGCTTGTATTTGTAAGGGTGGGTCTCATCTGAACAAGCCTAGGAGAATGCAGTACAGTTCTCTCCATCTGAGCTGGATGCCAAAACACCCTTTTGAGTCTATGGATGCAAAGATTCACTTCTGGTAACCCTTTCTCAAATACGTGTTAAGAAGAGGTAAGTTCCCTGCCTGTCTGCTCCCACAGGCAGCTTGCCTGGCTGGAGACTTCAATGCTGTCAACATCTACGATGTGGTGGGCTGAGGGAACTGCTCCCATGAGGGTAAAAATACATTATCAACACAAGGGTTTCACGGTTCAGTTAAACCACCACAAAATCCACGCAGTTACACTGCAACAGCTTTTCTGACTAAATCCCATGAGTGCTTCTTCTGCCTGTGGGCTGAAGTTTAATAACCAAGTGGGGAAACTGAGGTGGAAGTGTTTTTACCAAAGGCACAGTGCAAACAAGCGCCCTTCGAGCCAGCTGCCCATGACTGCTATTTTTCACTCATTTCACTCTCCCTTCAGAGGAATGTTCACAAAAAGGCAGCGGGACTTGGAGGGAGCAGATGGGAGTCAGTTGGGGAGTGTCTACATAGAGGCAATCCAGAGGAGGTAGTTTTTAGAGGGGCAGACAGGACAACCCTGCTTTGAGCTGAAATCACAAGGGATTTGCAAGCACTGAGCTCCTAAAGTTTGTGGTTCAACAGAGCTGAGAAGCCACCTTTTCCCAAAAGCCTCGATGTCTTCTCAGATTTAACTCCCTGGACGAGCAAGGAACAGATATATTCATCGCTGGTTGGTTTTCTGCAGGTCTGTCCCACCCTGACCCCATCCATAGTTTGATCTTTGAGGACTGGAGGGCACAAAGCAAGCAGTGCGTCACGATAATGGCACAAGGATGCTCATCAGCTCACTCACAGCGCAGGTGCAGGGCCAGGAACATACAGCTGCAAAATTCATATTGTCAGCCTAATTGCTTCTTCAGGACATCATTTTTAGAGTGGCACCATAAAATATGGTAATAAAATCATAATAATGTTTCCTTCAAACTTGTTAGAAGCTATTCATTCTGCAAAGTGTAGTTTTCTTTCCTCCCTGCTCTGTCCTGGTCTGTCTGTTTTCACGGTGTCCAGCCTTTGCTGCTAGTCTCCCTCTGCCCATCATCTCTCAGTTATTTCTTTGCTTGCCTGTAAACTAGGTAACACACTGCCTCCATGAGCAGCAATGTAGACAAGGGGCCACGAACATCTCTGTTATAAAGCCTCCTTTGGAAGAAAGGTATTTTTTTTTTATACAACTTGACTAGACAATATTTGCTCCAGGCTACAGCCTGGTGTATAAGATCTCTGCCTGGGAGCACAAGCGAGGAAAAGAAAGAAATGTGTTTGATAAAGGAAAACAGAGGGGGGAAAAGAAACCATAGCAAGTGATTGCTCTGGGATGTGACCTAACCCCTCTGGTATTCTGTGAGGGGGAGAGGAAGGGAAATGGAGGATATGCTGTAGTTTTAAAATTAGCTACTCCACATGTGCATCTAGTCTTTCCGTATGCTCTAAATGAGACTTTCGGCCCCTGTCCCAACTTGTTAATTACTCAACAGATGAAGGCAGCTCTGAAGAAGCCTGTTCACTCGGCTGATGACATAATCAGACTTTCTGAAAACTGTTCCCCTATGTATTTATTTAACTGATAGACTGGAGCAGTCTCCTTCAGAGTCATTTGAGTCTACTGGAGGCCTGGTGAGCGTTTCAGCGTGTAGATTTACCTTCATGAGTAGAGCAGATTGTCTGGTTTCCTGCGGAGGTTTTCCTGCTGATTAGACATATACTATTTTTTTGGGGGGTAAAAGCTGCCTGAATACAGATTACCCATCCCATCTCACAGCTTCCAAGAGCATTGCAACTGCAGATATTTCTCAGGCAAAGACAGGCTGTCCCCTCCAGAGCCAAGAGATACACCACCAAAGGTGCTCTTTTCCAGGGAAACACCACAGACAGTGCTCTTGCTTATGCAAAAAGGCCAGAAGTGATCATTGCTACAGGGAATGGCAGAAGAGAGAAGAAAAAATTACCAAGAATTAGCAACTTGGCTGTTCTGCTGGTGTACACTTTGAGTCATTTCTGTAAAATCAGCTTACATTTCTATAAAACACGCTGAACTTCGCCCTCACTAAGGTCAATTAGGAAAAAAAAAAAGCCCTTTGCACTCTGTGTAGATCTATAGACATTTGCAGGTCTTTTCAACATAGCTTCACTAATTATGTACTGATTATTTCCCGCTGTTCCTAGGAAAATGTCAGGCAAAACATTTACTATGAAACCTCCCACGTTTTACTGACAGTCCAAAGGCAGTTACTAGGGTATAAAAATAGCTCCTTACTTCCCATTGAAAAAAAAATCAAAACCCAAACCCTTTAGGCTGCTGTGTTTCTTCATGGGGCTGTCACGGAGGCTTGAAAGCTGGGGGTTGACTTCCCACCCAACCCCAGCAGACAGCTTCTCCTCACCGCAGACCCTACAAATCACTGCTGTGCACTGATATAGGTAGACGCTGCCTGCACTGGGAACTCAAGAGATGGGTCCATGTTTTGCCTTTAGGCAGACTGTGTATTCTGGTCTCGGAAGGAGGAGTTCAGTATCCCTTTCCAGTGCGCTCTCAAGTAAATCTTACCCACAACTTTCCGATGGGTGTGGATGTATTTGGGCGCGTTGAAAGACAGACGTGCCGGGTGAAGGGTGATTTCCTTTGAGCTTGCTGTAGACATACCAGAAATATCCTGCTTCTGCTCAGCATATGGCCCCAATGGTCCCTGTAGCTCCAGCCCAATGTGGTCTTTTAAGTCTTATTTCAAATCCGTTACCCTTTTTGATCTTTATTTCTCTATAATGTTAAGAGGATTAATGTTGTTAGATCTTTGTGTCTAAAGTTCTCTTTCATGTTGCAGTTTCATGCTTTCTTATGTTGGAGTTGTTTTTCTGAGATGTTTAACTAGTTACATTTTCCTCCTTGTGCCTTAATGGCACATCACTTTATTCGCTGATACGAGGGGAACAGTTAGAGATGACCGACTGCCAAGTGATCAAACACACGGAGAAGGAACCACCACCCTTCCTTCACATGTGCCCATACAGAGCCCTTGGTGGGGACTTACAGAAATGACCTCCCTCCTGTAACTGTACTGAACCACAAACTCTGCAAAGATTTCCAAATGGGCGTTGGGCACCAAATCCGCTTAAGAATCTGAGCCTCTGAGTGCCCTGTTCCCACTCCAACCAAGGTGGTCTCATCCCTCATGCTGACTCACTTGGGCTTCTGTCTTTGACAAGTGGCCTCACTGCCATGCAAGGAGGGACCATGGAGGGTTTCTATGTATCCAGCAGGATCTTCCCGGAGTGGAAGGACCAGATACTACTGGCTTTATTTCTTGTACCTTTGGTAGGTTTTGTACTTTGTTCATATAAGGAAAGGTTTGAAGCAAGGGTTTTAAAAGGAACTAGGGATGGCATTTGAGCTGAAGAAGCAAATCTTCTGACTTTGAGGGCTATATTACACAATATAAATGCTCTAGGCAAAGGACTCTTACCCGAATTTAAAAAGAGTGAAAATGAAGTACAGATGCCCATACTGGGTCTGCTGAGAGCTTTGATCAACTAAGGGTCTGCTGACCCTGTAATCATTTTGGGTTGCTAAAAGATCATGACCTCAGTCTGACTGGGCCACCAGACCTGGAAAATGATCATGCCTGAACCTTCGCAGACTTGTAGAGGAGGCACCAGCACCCCTGGTTCATGTCTCTGGAGCCGTAGGTCAAGAAGCTGTACTTGGAAGTATCTCCCCAAAGATCTGCTTCCCCATGCAAATGGGATGCCTGTGCCTGCACTGCTTTGTTTACCTTCTAACTCTCACCCATCACATGCTAAGAAAATCATGGATACAAACAGCCTTCACCCCTTACCCCCTGGTCTGCCACCACTGACAGCCCTACAAACCTGCTGCAGAGAAAATGCAAGAAACTGAAGACCTCTCTGCTGGTTACATTTTAGGATGAACACAAGGAGTCAGAAGTCCTGGCCAATTTCCTTGAGATGTTCTCATGAGTCCATATGGCCAAAAATATTCCATAATGAAATGAACTGCTACTTCACAGCAATAACTGAATGCAAATTTACTATTCCAGTCATCCACCTTGATCACAACATTTCTAAAGCTCTTTGAAAATGTAAAGTGCTCTGG